GAGACGACTTCAGACGAGACGTCGACTTCAGAGGAGACGTCGACTTCAGACGAGACGTCGACTTCAGACGAGACGACTTCAGAGGAGACGTTGACCTCAGACACGTCGACTTCAGAGGAGACGTCGACTTCAGAACAGGGTGAGGCGTTGACCCTTGGCTTGGAGGCGTCGACCCTTGGACTGGAGGCGTCAACCCCTGGACTGGAGGTGTCGACCCTTGGACTGGAGGCGTCAACCCTTGGACTGGAGAAGTCAACCCTTGGACTGGAGGCGTCGACCCCTGGCTTGGAGGCGTCGACCCTTGGCTTGGAGGCGTCGACCCTTGGCTTGGAGGCATCAACCCTTGGCTTGGAGGCATCGACCCTTGGCTTGGAGGCGTCAACCCTTGGACTGGAGGCGTCGACCCTTGGACTGGAGGCGTCGACCCTTGGACTGGAGGCGTCGACCCTTGGACTGGAGGCGTCGACTCTTGGACTGGAGGTGTTGACCCTTGGCTTGGAGGCGTCGACCCTTGGCTTGGAGGCGTCGACCCTTGGCTTGGAGGCGTCAACCCTTGGCTTGGAGGTGTCGACCCTTGGCTTGGAGGCGTCGACCCTTGGCTTGGAGGCGTCGGCCCTTGGACTGGAGGTGTCGACCCTTTGACTGGAGGTGTCAACCCTTGGCTTGGAGGCGTTGACCCTTTGACTGGAGGCGTCGATCCTTGGCTTGAAGGCGTCGACCCTTGGCTTGGAGGTGTCGACCCTTGGCTTGGAGGCGTCGACCCTTGCACTGGAAGAGGCGTCGACTTCCATCTGCTTCTGGGCCTCTGGCTTCTGGACCGCCGGTCTCTGAGCCGCCGGCTTCTGGGCTGGTACCGTCTGCTTCTGGGCTGGTACCGTCTGCTTCTGGGCGGGAACCGTCTGCTTCTGGGCCCGCACCGTCTGCTTCTGGGCCGGCACTGTTGGCGTCTGGAGTGGAGGTGAAGTCGCTGCAGGAGGGGATGTCTGGACAGGCGGGACCGGATGCGGTGCTTTCACCGGGACCCCCGCTGGAACAGGCATTGAGTGAATGGGTGATGCTGGAGACAGGGAGCGCAGAGCGTCCAGTAAGAGCTTATTAGAACCGGCGATCTGTTGAAGCTGGACCAGCTCAGCCCGGAGACTGCCAAGTTCAGTCGGCTGGGTTGTGGGCATTGCTCCACCTCCTGCAGATGACGGAGGAGCCGATTGGACCGGAGGCGGGACAGCTGGTCCGACCGGGGGCGGGTCCAAGCTGCTGCGTCCAGCCGGAGCAGCGAGCAGATCGTCCAGCTGGAGCGCATTGAGTTAGAGGGTCTGACGAATCTGGACCAACTCAGCTCGGAGACTGGTGAGCCCCGTCAGCTGGGCTGCGGGCGCAGCTCCTCCACCTGCAGGCGCCGATTCGGCCAGAGACGGGACCGCTGATCTGACCGGGGACGTGTCCAGACAACTGCGCCGAGTTGGGGCAGTGGAGAGGTCGCAGCTCCGTCCTGGGACACAGGGCTGCGATGGAGCCCAGCATCTCTCCCCACGCCGTGGGCCAACTCCGGGAGAGCACACAGCCAGGCGGGTGCCCACATAACTGGAGCAATCAGGAAGCGACTCCCCATCCACTCTCCCACCGGCCTCCGGGAGGGTGGAGAGGAACGCCGAGGTAGAAGGTCGCTGGAGCTGGAGAAGGAGAAGCCGGGCTATAGTCGGCGGAGAGGAACTGGAACAGATACTTCCATGGGAGAATCTCCCCGCTGTATCCTTCAGAGGGTCGAGTTATTCTGCCACGAGCGTGCCTGGTGAGCGGAGCGGTGATCAGGTGAGGATCCAAACGCGGGACAGGAAGACAGGCAGACAGGTAGGACGTTTAAGAAGAAGAAGAAGAATATATCATTTCTATAGCGCCTCTCAAGATAAAAATCACGAGGCGCTTCACAAAAACAAGACAAAAACAAAAACAAAAAATATAAAAATTGTAAAAATATAAAAAAGCATTTCGAAAATGTTTAAAATTATATTTAAAATGAGCAAGAATAAGCAATTGCGATTTAAAAGAAAACATGTTAAGAAAGAGAGAGAGTGAATAGGAAAGAGGGAAATCAGTGGATCCTGAGGAAGGTGGAATAGGTGGGGAGAGCAGAATAAAGAGAGGATGGTGAAGAAGGTCAAAGGTTAAAGGTTTTAATCATGAACACACTGGACATGGGAACAATGACTCGACATGAAACACAGAACAGAAGGGGTTTAAAAACAAGAGGAGCGGGAGCTAGGGTGATTGGGAAACAAGAGGCAGGTGGGAGCAATTAACGGAGACAGACTAAAACCTAAGGGGAAACAGGACAGGGTGTGACAGTATGTACCTGTCCAAAAGATTGTTACCAACTCTTAATTAGTTTTAAACTAACTTTTTAACTTTAAACTTTCTTTAAGAAGTAGAAGGCAGTCGAGGAATCTGCGACTTCCAGCTTCATTGGCGTCGCCCCATAGTGCATGCTGGGAACAAAGGCACAGTCTCGTTGAGTGACAGCTCCCGCTTGTGGGTACACAGGGTCCAAAATAAAAATTTTTACTCACCGGCCAAGTTGGCTGGTAGATGATGAAAATCTACCGGCCAAGCATATTTTTTACCGGCCAAAATTATAAATGATTTAAATCTACCTAAAGCATGTTATTCTATATTATGTTGATTCCAAACAGAGTGACAAATAATTAAAACATCAATTAATAAGAAAAACAACTCTTTTGTAATTTTTACTATTTATTTATTTATTTATTTTTAGAGATGTTTTTATGAACTCTTTCATTGAAATCTAGTCAGACTCCTTGTTTTCTCTGTCCATGAAGTCTGGCCTCCTGCTTCTGACACCGTCTTTGTGCCAAAGCATTACAGCCTCATTTGGGTCACAGTCCTTGATCTCTGGAGAACACAGCTGCACCATGAGAATATCTGAAAGTGTGTCAGGGCTAGGGTTGTCACGGTAACCGGTGTAGCAGTAAACCCCGGTAAAAAATAAATAAATAATAATAACCGTCTTGTTTTAAAAAAATATACATCTTCTCGGTGGATTACCGTGGCTGTGGCGTAGGTGCGGTGACCCATACCAGCCACCGTATCATCTGCTGAAGTGGCCGGCGGCACATGCTCACTTTGTTGTTTACGACCAAAACTTTCTTTAAGCTAAAGCTGAAATAATGGCCAGAGACGGCACTCGGGACATTTATTATCCCCCAAAGAAGACAAAGTCGGAAGTATGGGCATTTTTTGGATATTTGAAGAATGCCGAGGGACAGTTTATAGAAGAAGGCTATCCTGTTTAAAGCATGAGCAGAAAAGTGTCTGTGAAAGGCAGCAACGCTACATAGCCATCATAATGCAGCCATTGTCTCACGACTCCGCCACTTTTCACAAAATCTGGTTGCCACTGGTCCTGGTGGTTTTTCTTCCAGTTCGACGAATTTTCTTTTGGAAGGCTGGCTGACTCCAGTTAAAAACCGCCACATTTCACCGCTAGTTTTAACACGAAGCTAACTGCTAACTTGATAAACTGATTGAATGGGATAGGTGGAAATGACGTTGGATGCGGTGCTCATGTTTCGCGTACGTTTGTGTACGTTGCATGCAGGCGGGAGGAGTATCAGAAATCCATGGAAGATGACTGATAAACATAACTAATTTGGTGCAAACATTTACTCGCCATGTGGCAGATACAGCTCAAAAATTTACTCGCCAAATGGAGTAATTTGCTTGCATTTGGCGAGTGGCGAGTGTTAATTTCGGACCCTGTGGGTACACAACTCTATTGGTTGACGCTCTAGGCTCCCGTAAACAATGTTTTGCTGTAAAAGCCAGGGGAGGGGCTTAGGGAAATAAAAATTATAAAATTGTTCCTACTTAATAAGGACTGCAGGTGGAAATTGAAGCAGGAGAACAGTAAAGATGCAAAAACTACCGTTGTTAAAAGAAATGTGTGTTGACTTTGAAAATGTGGGCGCAATTTTTAAGTGTCAAAAACTCCAGCGAACCAACCCGGATCCCACCCTCCCGTGTTCCAGCATCTGTTTTGCAATTAGTGAACTTTGGTTTCACATCAGTATTTACGTTCCCGGAACGTTTGATTTACAAATTAAGCACCGTAGGAAAGACCTATTTTTAAGTGTTATGATGGTCTGTCTCTCTTCCATTGTTAATTACCTTTTTCTCGCCAGTTTTGTAGCAACACACTATTATCTGCAGTACAATACTTTTCAACTGATGTTCACAAGGGTATGGTAACACATAGGTCTGGGAAATAAATGAAAAATGTATCGTCATCAAAACTTCTGACTCTTATCAAGAGAGTTCTTCCCATGTCAATACATTTGATAATAAAAAATGAAAAGATGTGTGTAGGTTGACAACGTTCATGCCCCTTTAGGAAGCTGTACCACCTTGAGTCACGTAAAGATGTAACTCAACATAATACTTGTGACAGCCCCAGCTAGTGGACAACTTTTGTTTCTGCACACACCTGTAATTATCGTCCAGTTATTGTTATTAAGGTGAAATCCTCAATTTATTGTGATATTTATTTTAGGTCATATGGCCCAGCCCTAGTACCACAGTATGTTCCAACACTGCTTTTATGCAGACAGAGGGGGTTGTAAGTAATCCAGAAAAGTTGGAACACCTGTGGGAATTAGCATCAGCTTTCAAGGCTTGATCAACCTCCATTGCTGCAGAACAGCTGTGTTCCCTGCCAAAGGCCTTTTTGTATCATTCTGAAATGTACATTATTTTTCACTTTTGAGTAACCTTACCTTTTTTTTAACCTCTGGCAGTTCACCACTTAACTTTGTACCATTTGAAGCTATTCATTGGACTTGAATGACTTAAACAGCAATAAGTGACTGGGAAAATTGGGGTGTTCTAAAACTTTTGACTGGTATTGTACAGTCTGATTTATACATTTTTTAAAAGGTCACAGTAACATTTGATGATGTGGTCTTGAGATAATCACATCTGGTATCTGGCTCATTGAAAAAGTCTCTAAAGCACAATTTTACTAAAACTAAAATGAGGTGACTGCTCTTTGTTTCAAGTGTGCCATAAAATATATCTGTTTGAATTATTCCTGCCATTTCCTGTGCCCATATTTTGGTTCAGTTTCTTTAGAAAAAGAGGAAAAAGGAAGGAAAAAAAGGCCTTATTGCACATCACACAACTCTTAGCTTTTTTTTTCCTTTTAAATCATAATTTCTGTTTTCTAGATGTCAGTGGTACTTCAAGGCCAAGATGACCTCAGAGGACAAGAGACGAACAACTTGTCAGAATGGACATGGTAAATTATTTAACTCTTTTTATGTTGTTGTTTCACATCATTCTTCTCTTAATGTGGGCAGGCCTTAGTTAGCTGTTAGCCACCTGCTCCGATCTTTACATTCAATGTGTATGAAGAATGGGGCCATTTCCCAGGTGTTCATCTTCCTCTGCATAATGAGTTCTGCACCTGAATGACAGATCTAACTGCATGGTTTTCCAGAACTCAAAGACTCTACTTATTTTAAATATGTGCAGGAAAAGATTTAATATTCCCACGACAAAAAGGCTTTCTAACTTCTTCTTTCTTTAATGTCTTCTAAAGAAGTGTTGGTGATTACACAGTTGTCCCTGAGCTTGTCAACCTTTTTCTTTACTTGCCAACTTTTTATTTCAGACTTTAAAAATGCAAACTGAAGCACTGAAACAAAAAGGATGTGAGTGTAAAGATTAAGAGTGAGGTGAGGATAAACCTGCAAGGAGAGAGGGGTGGTGGGGGTGTGAGGTCGGCGGGTTGAAAGTCAATAAAGGACAGAAGAACAAAGACGAATGTGGAATATTTTAAGAGGACGGTTGGATTTGAGGCCAAAGATCAGGAACAGATAGAAAGCATTATATATCACGGTGCCTCCCAGGTTTCAGACGTATCCCCCAAACCCTCTAAAGCATCACCTGTGATCACCTTGGCACCGAGTGTGACCGTGAGCAGCAACTTCCAGAGGAGAGCGAGGTCCTTGTGGGGCTTCATGCATCGCAGACAGCTGATTGTTGTTCTTGGTTTGTTGATACTGTATTGATCCCTAAAGGAGAACAAGCTTGTGTATACCCCTCTCGGGCTGGGAGGTTGAGGTCACCACCAGAGCAGCAGCAGCAGCCTGTTAAAGACTTGCTCAAGGACTCTGCAGCAGGGTGCATGGTTGAACAAAACTCTCTTTAGAAACTCATCCCAAGTTAAACGTGTGGCTCAGCGCTCAAGGAGCTTCCCTGCTGCTCTTCAGCAAGACGAGCGAGCTCTGCTGGAGGAGAGATATTGAACAAGTTTCTGTAGCTCGCTGCCCCCAGCTCATGATCAATAGCAATGAGGAAATGTGTCTTTCTGTATCTAAAACCATCTGTCTTAGAAAATCGTTGTTGCTGCTGAACATGAAACGGAAACATTAAAAGCATTCTCTGATGCATTGCACCTTTTATGTCCTCAACAGTCCCTTTTCCAGGAGTAAAGACCTACGTGGACCCTGACACGTATGAGGATCCCACACAGGCCGTGCACGAATTCACTAAAGAAATCGACCCGCCTAGGATTCGCATCGAGAGGGTGATCGGGGCGGGTACATGCACACACTCACCTACACACACTCATCCAGCTGTGTTATCGAATCACTAAAGTTACGTCGGCAGAAGAGGGCCATTTTACATTTACTGTCATAACGGCAGCTTTAAATGTGGAAATGAGAGGATCCTTGCAAACCTCTTCTACTGCACCATTCACAGAAAAGAGGGGACCTGTTTCACGCTTGTTTTCTCACTGCACCATCACTTTAATAGGTTTGAAGAGCTAAAGATGTTAGAATACATTCAAGGTTTTCCTTTAGAGGTAAACTGAAGTTAACTCATCAGTGAGGAGGTTCTAATCGTGATGATGAGATGAGAGCTGCAACACTGCCTCCAAGTGGTAAGCTGTAGTACCTGCTGGTGGTGTGGGCTTCTTCCTGTTAGTGTGTATGTGTCCATCCAGATGGTTTATTGTAAGGTTTACAATGTATTTTTTTTTCTTTATTTCGTTCAATAAAAAATAACACAACAGATACTAAACAATATTCATGAAAACACAATATATATTTGAATGAATATATTTGAATGAATTTGAAAGCTTACCTTATTTAAGGTAAGCTTTAGTAGTAAGTGTGTGTGTGTGTTCCAGGTGAATTCGGTGAGGTGTGCAGTGGTCGCTTGAGAACACCAGGAAAGAAGGAGATTGCTGTGGCTATAAAAACCCTGAAAGGAGGATACGTGGAGCATCAGCGGCGGGATTTCCTGCGAGAGGCATCCATCATGGGCCAGTTTGACCACCCAAACATCATCAGACTTGAGGGCGTGGTCACAAAAAGTAAGAGTACTCTAACTCTTCTTCTCTGAGATGCACCATACACCATGTTGGTGGATCTTTGTTATATTAACAGGATGTAGTTTATAGAGCATCTAAGTGCTTTAATGGCTCTGATTGCACTAATAGAAGGGAACGCCTCTCATGCTAAGGTGATTAACCCATGAAGGACTATTTAAAAGTATGTGCTAAATAAGATGATGGCTTTCAGTGATGAATAATTCGGTGACTGAAAGTACTACTCAGATTTCCGATCAACTGCCAGAAACTGTGCTGGGAGTTTGCCTCACAAAAACCAGGCCCGACTTTGGTGAATGGCAGTTTTCAAAATTGAACAAAAGGAGAACAACTCCATTGCTATTTTGCATCCCAAATAGTTCAATATGCATCAGCATTTTTTAAAGGTTGACATCTTTTTACCAATCGCACTGTTTATAGTTGGCTATACTTGGATTCCTGGTTGTTTTGGTAGGTAATAGGAATCCCTTTTCTATCAAAATCTGTTGTTTTCCATGACTTAGTTGGGTTTACCTTCATTGTTTTTGCGTGCACACATTCAAGTGGCAAACATGCATCATTGGGTAAATTTGAATTCCCTGATTTTACGAAGAAAGCCATTTTATTAACAAGTGTGTGTGTGAGAGAGAGAGAGGGGGGGGGGGGGGGGGGAGGAAGGAGTGTGGACTTGTTAATGAGCTCTGTTTTACAGGGAGCACCAAGCACAACATATGGTTGTATTTACAGGGGGTGTATAAACTGAGACATCACTGTGAATATAAATGTGTCCCCTGAAGACTTCAGCCCCTCCTTGAATGCAGATAGAGGACGGTCTTCAGCTCTGACCCTGCTGAAAAGACTCTACTGATTAGGGCTTTAAAAGGCCCAAATTGTTATTATTGAACTTAAGCTGATATATTTGTGGTTTTCTAGTTTTATCTGTTAGAGGAAAATCCCTCTATGCAACAATAAAAACGCCATCTGGTTTGGATGACACAAGTGCAATATAATGCACCTTTGTCTCACGATGAGGTGGAATTCTCTCTTCAGGTCTGACCTGGATGTCCCTCAGGAGGTGGTGGAGGGTTCTGGGTTGTCCCCTCCTGAACCTTTTGCCTCGGCCTTGAGCAAACCTTGGATTCATTTTTAAAAAAGGATGTAAAGATTAACAGATTAAAGTAAAGACCCTCTAAGCAGTCTTTAACGAGGAGTCCTGTTTTAATCTGTTCATTATGTTTTATTCTGTTCATCTGACTGTAAAAGACTAGAGGTTTGGAGATCAAACCGATTTCCATAACTATCCAATACACACACACACACACACACACACACACACACACACACACACACACACACACACACACACACACACACACACACACACACACACACACACACACACCAATATGCACATCAAATCAAATCACACAATCAAAAGCCTTTTGTGTTTGTCAGTGGGGCATCACACTGCATTTATTCTGGGTAAACTCTCCCTTTCTGCCTGTCTGACTGGTTTGTCATTTCTTCATTCTCTATCACTTCCTCCATCTGTTGTTGTTCTTCAGAGACTAATTATGGAGACTACTGTGCTGTGACTGACTGCTATACATGCTCTGAAATAACAGGTGACACATTAGATTCTGGTACACAGGTGCGTTTGTTTTCGTTGAGGCGTCTCACTGCATAACTATATATTGTTTCCAGACCTCGCTAATTAGCTTAGGAAAAGATGAGCATGATGAAATCATTTACTTCCTGTCCCACCTGGAATTGGGCTGGAGGGGAAGGGGGTGAAGAAATTTTGGTATGTAGGGATGAGATGTTTTCAGATTAAAGATAAAATATAATTTTTTCCTTGGTGTCAAACAAGTTGTGATTGAACAGAACGAAGCTCGTCTCAGTGACAGATGTGCATGATGTTTGGATTTAATTTACTCATAACTCAACATTTTGAGCTGTTTGGCTTCCCAACATGAAATAACTTAAAGGGATTACCTCATTTTACAGATACACACACACACACACACACACACACACACACACACACACACACACACACACACACACACTTTCTCTCTCTCATCAATGAATGAATGAGTCTTTTCCGATGAAAAAAAAATCACACACTGAGGAGCCAACGTGAACGTTGGTTACGTATTGTAACCCCAGATTCTATGAGCCCTTAAGCTAGCTGCTATTGGAAGGATGATCTCAGCATCAGCCAATCATGAAGAGCTTAAATGTACTCCCACCAATGGTGGGCACCCCTTGTGGGTATATAAGTGGAGTGACTCCACTGTTCGCCTCCGATGGCTCTTAGTCCTATCAGAACCAGTGGGGCCAGTGGCTTAAGGGCTGCGACTAGACTCATAGAATCTGGGGTTACAATACGTAACCAACGTTCTATTTCGTCTAGTCTTAGCTCTTAAGCGAGCTGCTATTGGAATAATGCGCAGCTGGATGGGATTACGCCACACTGGTTAGCTCAACCAATGGACACACCCAACATGTCTCCTTTTAGTGAGGGACGTTCAGCCGCAGCCCAGGGCTTAAAAGGCTGAGGCAGCCAGAGAGGAGCGTGGGGCCCCACTAAAATTATCATCCACATGAGGATGAAAATCATCCAAGCAAGGCTGATGTGGTGCCATAATGTCTTCACTCAGCCCGCTGAGGTCCAAGCACTGAACGAGTGATGGATCCTGAAGCCACATCTCGTAAATAATAACGAGTAAAGGAACAGGGTGAAGCTCATGAAGCAGCCTGACAAATGCCTTCCATCGACACACCACTGTGGAGCGCCATAAAAGAGGAAATCCATCTGGCTGAGTGAGCCCTAAGTGTCTCAGGAGGATCCTGCCCTGATGATGTGTAAGCGAGTGAAATGGCGTCACATAGCCAGTGTGAAAGACGCTGGGTCGACAGCGCTTGCCCAAGGGAAGAATCTCTGTAGTGCACAAACAGGCTTTGTGAGCGGATGATTGAAAACAGATCCATCCCCAAAACCCTGGTGACAGGATGAGATAGCTGCAGCATATGTTTTAATAGTGCTGAATGCGAGGCCCCTGTCCATCAGTATCTGCAAAAACGATAGGACATCCGCCAGCTGGCAGGAGAGCGCATGAACATGTCGCTCCGTGCTGGAAAGCTGCCCATTTAGCAGCATAAGATGTGACGATAGAGGGCGCCCACGCACTCTGAATCGTGGCGACCACATCATGCGGCAGCCCAGAAGCCTCTTAGCGTGACCGCTCAGCGGCCAAACCCACAGCCGTTGGCCTATTTCCGGAGGATGTTTGATTATCCCATCCGTCTGGAGAAGGGCGTCCGCCCTCCACGGGAGCCTCCACGGAGAGCCGGACACTAGCGCTTGCAGGTCCGGAAACCATGACGTGGACAAGCGTCTGGGAGCTACCAGAATTACAGAGAGCTGTTCCGACCGAACTCGGTCCAGGAGACGGGGAATCAGTGTGACCGGCGGAAACGCATACAGGAGCGTCTGAGGCCAGGGCTGGTGCGAGAAGGCGTCCGCACCGAGCGGGGGATGGTCCCGGGACTCAGGGAAAACCACAGGCGACACTGTGCGTTTTCGCGAGCAGCGAACAGATCCACAGAGGGTTCCCCGAACCTGATCCAGATCTGTGATATCAGAGGGGGATGCAGACGCCAGTCGGAGTCGCGGGGTCCCCCTCTCGACAGGATGTCCGCTGCTACATTCAGGACCCCCGGAATGTAGGTGGCTTTGATGGACAGCAGATGGACATGTGTCCAACACAGTAAATCTGTGGCTACACGCAACAGTGGGAGGGATCGAACTCCCCCTTGGTGATTTATGTAGGCTGCCGCCACCTGGTTGTGTGAACTTCGACATGACGGCCCTCGAGAAGGGCAGCGAGGTGTCTGATCACATTCCTCACTGTCATAAGCTCCAACACATTTATGGGCTCGTGCGTGTGGGAGGGCCAGCAATCTGCCACCGTATGGGACAAGCACGTGGCCCCCCACCCCAACAGTGACGCATCCGTAAACACAGATACGTGTGACGTAGGACGTCCGATGGGGACCCCGTGTGAGAGGGTGCAGGGACTCCCCCCTGTGAGCAAGGTCCCCGCCCACTGAAGGGGGAATCCTCAACATACGTCTCTTCTGACGTATCGGGTGTACCCGGAGGCGGATGAACCAACCCTGCAGGCGCCTCGTGTGCAGTAAACCTAGCGGCACCACAGCGTGGGCTGCAGCCATCATGCCCAGAAGTTTCATGACTAACAGGGCTCTCACGATCTTGCGGGGTTGCACGCGGGAGATCACCGAGGCAAGATCTGCCGCTCTCGCCGGAGACAAACGTGCTCTCAGTAGAGAGGCGTTCAGCTCCACCCCGAAGAAACACAATCGACTGGGAGGGAAGGATGGAGCTCTTCTCCCAGTTTATGGAAAACCCCAGGGTTGACAGATGCTCTATTAACTTCCTGGTTTGCTCTGACGCCTCGTCCTTGCCGCTGATGTCTCCCGGGACTCTGTGGGCTGCTGGTTGTGGCCCCCCAGGGCGATCCTCTGTGCCTCTTGAGGGGGGCGGGGGCCTTTCTGGTTGCAGTCTCCTTGGGGTTCCTGTGTTCTGGGGCAGCGCCTGGATCTCTGGGACTTGGAGCTCCCCCCGTCTCCTGCGCATCTTTGGGGGGCGGATCTGTGGTCCCTCACACTCTGTTGGACGCTCCTATAGAGAAACCTTAAATAAACAATCGCGTGTACACACACAGGTGCTCACATGGTGCTCTCAAAAGTATGGGCTTGGGCACGTTTAACACAGGTCTTAAGACTATGGTGGGCACTTAATGCACTGTGATTTATTATCGTGATTTTTCAGCTAAGCAATGTTGATTATATATTTTTTCATCAAGTTGACGCAGTGATAGCTTGATCTTGTTGTATTGTTGTTGTGTCCCATTTTTTTGTCCTTTTGCTTTTTTTTGTCTTTTTCTGCAGGTCTAGAAGCAGACTCTTGTTAATTGTTTATTTTTGTGGAAACCCCCCCCCCCCCCTTCCCCACCTTTTCTTTTCCTTTCTCTTTCACCTCTGCCTCCATGTCTGGTCGGAATTACAAAGCATTCAACAACAGTAACAATAAAGTTTTAAGTATCAGGCGTGACATTAAAAGCAGATGCTTTGATGCTCCACCTGAGAGTAAATCTGTAAGGCTTGTCACCAGCATTCAGACATCAATTCTGCTTGCTTCACAGCCAGACAGGACACGGTAAAAAAAAAAAAAAAAAAAAAAAAAAAAAAAAGAAGTAACCAAACAAGGAATCAAAAGTGTGATATTATGGTCCAACCACATCCACTTTTATTTCCTTGTTTGGTTTACAGCTAACAGGCCTGGACATTTGCCTCTAAACAGTAAAACAGTCCATCAGTTTCTTTACAGGGATCATCTGCAGAAAAACAAATACTGAATTTGTTTAAATGGGAAAGTTGGATGAGTCTGGCATTTTCACTTGATGCTTCAGTCAACCACCGGTGATCCGTGTGTCTCAGCAGCCCATTTTCCTTTTCTCAGCTGGCTAAACACAAATACAACAACCCTTCTCTGTTTGGACTCCCTGATCCAGATGTTTTAAAATTTTGTTTCATTTGAAGTTTTATACATTTTGTTCTGCGTTTTAGTGGATCTAAAAGAAAAACTCACAATGCAGAGAGAATGATCTTGAAGGACCTGAACAAAGTGTTATTCTTTTGTATTTGCAGGCCGGCCTGTGATGATCGTTGTGGAGTATATGGAAAACGGATCGCTGGACTCGTTTCTCAGAGTGAGTGTTCAACCCCAGCGTAATTGTGTCCTCATGAGTATGGTTTCAGCCATAAATAACGTTTAGTGCCTTGGCATGTCTGTGAGCTCAGATCACTGCAACACTTAGCAGGAGGATAAAAATCATCCTCAGTTACGGTTTGTGATTTACAACTTGCGTGAATAATGAAATATATTTGCCGTAACACATCGTATTGTCATTTTAGTGGCAACATAATTTTGAACAAACTGTTTTTCCACAAACTGTTTTTCCACAAAATAGTCCCTTTCTGTTGTTTCCCCCCCTCTGTATTCTCCATGGCAGCAACATGATGGTCACTTCACAGTTATCCAGCTGGTTGGCATGCTTCGTGGCATCGCCTCGGGCATGAAGTATCTGTCAGACATGGGCTACATTCACCGAGATCTGGCAGCTCGTAACACACTGGTCAACAGCAATCTGGTGTGTAAAGTGTCAGACTTCGGCCTGTCGCGAGTGCTAGAGGACGACCCGGAGGCGGCTTACACCACAACGGTACATCTGAGACCCGCACCAAAACACAAACAACTGTTACTTAATTATTAAAGGGCTATAACAAAACAGAATCTATTTTATTACAGTTAAAATCTGGGAAATGAGTCCTTATTTTATACCATTTCATATTGATTTTAGATGAATGTGTCCTTTTGGTTTGATATTACGAAGGTACAGCCTCAACAACACAGAGCTTCTGCCCCACGCAAAATAAAATTAGAACGATGTGATATAAGGTGAGAACTGTATTGTAGCCCACTAACATGTTCATGTTTTATAGTTTACGCATTCATCACATCTGTACAGTATAATTATACTGTATAAATATGAAATATATGTATATTGAAATACATGAAAAATGTAAAACACGCTATATCGATATCACTCTAATTTTGTTTTGCATGGGTGCCAGCTCTATGTTTCCATAGAATGGTGTATAGGCAGCCGAAGTGTCCAACAAAATAACTAAATATTTAGATATAGATGCAAATTTTCATAGGCCAAATTAAGGATTGAAAACAAGTTAAAATGAGTGTTGTGTAAATTTTACATTTCTGTTGAATGTGTGATTGATTTGTCTGAAGATGAAAATAAGCCTTTAAATATACATTTAGTTATGCACTATTTGTTACTAAAGAAATGTCAATTCCAAAAATAGATTTTTTTTAATTATTATTTAGTTTGTTTCATTAAAAGTTAAGAAAAAAATGTTTTAAGACAAACAAAAAATCCTGCTTTTGAGGCATGAACAACCTGATGCAACACACTGCTGCTTAACGTGTTCTGTATTTGTGCCGGAGACCACAGTAATCTTCATTTCCTGGCTTGTATCAAGGTTTTTATGTAAAGGAAATGGTGTGCTTAGGGCTCAGAGTGAAACTTTCTGCCCCAGAGGGCAGTGGTTGAACTCCTCACCGGAAAGCTGAAAGGTGAGGTTAAAAGAGAGAAAAATATAGATCATTTTTTTCTGGTCAGCCATTCAAAAAGATATTGGTTAAGTATTATTTATTTTAGTTTTTTTTTTTTTTTTTGTCCTGGCTTGTGTTTGACCTTTTTTTTTTTATATATATAAACGCACCAAATGGGGTTTATTCATTTGCATTTTGTTCCACATGTATCCTGGTTTTATCTTTTTAGTTTCACTCAGAAATAATACAATTTGTTGCTAACGGGCACTTTTAACACAAAGGGCAAGAAATCCAGTATTTGTTTAGATCATTGAAGTGTTTGACATCAATAGATTATAAAGGACCCACTCTAATAATATTTTATAACCCGTTTTAAAATAGTTCTTAGTGATCTTTAAACTGATTATGCTGTTTTTAGTCAAAATTACAAAACCTGTGCTGTTTTCTGGTACGTGGCTTCTATATAGGGGCAGTAGCTCATTAAAGAAGTGGTAAAGCCCCCCTCAGAGTCGTACTCCACCCACGTATCAATTTTAAAAACTGCAACATTAGTAGGCGTTGCCTGGAGGACCGAGAGGGCGGAGCCGTGGCAGTGACGAAGACGATGGCTAACTAGACGATGCTAGCTCCCTTCACTCTGAGCAGTTATTAGAAGTGGAGGACGTTTCTCCCCCTCCTTACCCAGACACTCGAGAAGAAAGGGACCAAGTCTATTTGGAGGAGACAAGCGGACCTGAGCGTTATTGTTTTGAGCTTGTGAGTTGCCTGAAACTAGCGGAACTGACCCAACAGAACCAGCTCTGAATGGTAAGTAGCCGTTAGCCATAGCATTAGATTAGCTGCAGGGTTTGGCTCCACGGCCCTAGAGAACTAGTATTCAGCATGTTTTAGAGGTTTATCTGCTTCAACACACCTGGTTGTAATCAGCAACAAATAGCTGAGCTGCTTAACAGCTAATCTAACCTGTTAAAGCAGGAAAACCACTGAAACGTGCTGGATGGCAACTCTCCAGGAGCCCTGGGCTCAAGTTACAGTCTGCTGCATAGAAAGTTATGAAACTACCCCATGAGAAAATTATTCTGTAATGTGTTCAGCCCACTAAAACTGCCCTGATTTCATTATTTATTTACTGATACTAGCTGCTCTCTTGGTTGTAGGTGATCCTTTGGTGTCTGCAGCTGGTCTCTGCTGGTGTCGTCAGGATCAGGAGCTTCCAGAAGAATGTGCCTGTCAATGACTCTTTCCCCCTTATTTGTTATATTAATTGAATAAATCTCAATTTATATATTTCCTGTTTTTGTTCATGTCCATAAATACTTAAACATGCTTGAAATTAAAATGAGCTTTTAACAGTGAGGTGCTGGTTTAATTCATCACAATAGAGCTAGTTAAGCATGCAACAATGTGATAATTCAATTAATGTAATTTAGAAATATCCATTAAAATATCAAAACTGGAATCTATATGAGATATTTGGCAGCAAAAAAAAACTTGTCAAACACAATATTTATTATAATAGTTGTAGGCAGACAGGAGACAGAGCTGATGGAGGTTCTCAGTCATCGAAGGATGGCTGAAGGCTTTCCAGGAACAGGAGATGTGGTGTTGTCTCTTCTCTCTATTCTGCCAGATGAGCTGATAGGTTACAGGTGTGTGAGGACATCCTCATGCTGTCACAACTAGATGACAGGAGTTATCAGGTGATCAGCCAGGCTAATGATGAGATGCAGAAAGAAAACAAATCATGCAGAAAGAAACAAATCCAGGACAGTGTACAATAATATGTGGTGTTGCTCACCTTATGTGCTCTTATAGAGTATTAACGTGTGCCTGCCTCATGGTGTAGAGTCCATATTTTGCTGAGTGTCCTGCAATAATGCAGGTTATTAGTTAATTTACTTTTGATAGAAAAAACAAAATATTTCATGTAAAAGTTATTTACCAGGTGAATCAGCTCACACGTCACCACCAAGTGTCACAGGGCCAGAATCAGTAGCCTCCTTCATGATGTCATGATGTAGTCACATACTTATTTAATTGTTAATATCTTAAAAATTCTGAAATGTTTAATTTTTTTTTTACCTTGAACAGTTCACTGAGCTTGCACTGTCACTGAGGTGGAAGCTGGAATCAACAGCAGACACCTCACATCTTGGTCTTTTCAGGGGGTGTTGACGCTGCTCTGGGTCTTTCTGGAAGATGAATTTCCGTCATGGTCCCCGTGTCACAAGACACATAGCGGCTGGGAGCTCTAAACTGGGTGGCTATGTAAAAAACAAAGAAGTAGCACATTTATAAATGTTTAAAAGAGCATAAAATCACGTGTAACAATAATCTGTAAAACAAATTAAAACTAGAAGGTAATAATAAAATGTTTACATAGAAGATTATTGAAAATAATTCACCTTTGCTACGGGTAAGGCTTCACGTCAGCCTGGACAAGTGCATTCTTGCAGCTAAATCAGTCTGACAGCCAGTGTCTTGGGTAGATTTAGCCTGAAAAAAAAATAGAAGCACATTGTTGTTGGAGTTTATAAAGTCAGATAATATACAAAAGAATCTGTCCTATATAGGCGCTTTATAACATTCCTAGTGTGTGATCGTTATTATAACGTAAAAGTCAGTCACATATGATGTGGAGAGCCTGAAATGCGACCTCCTGAACAGAATTCCTCACGGAACCGGGTCACAAGCTGGATTTCATGCTGTAATGCTGTCTGTCAACTAGTGCTGCGCAGAGGCGGTTTTACCATTAGGCATAGGTAGGCGGCCGCCTGGGGCCCCCTTGTGTTGGGGGGCCCCCTAGCCCTGACCGCCAGCACCCCTCTGTTAATGCCACAATATTCTTATTACCAACCTGTGGCCGCAGACGGGATTGGACATGCACACTTCTCATTACCATAATTCCTGAACCGTTCAAGATATCATTAAAATTCCAAAAGTGCTGAAAAGATAAAAAATGGGGCTTTCCGTGCATATACAATACATTACGATAGCCACCGGGATTCCCTGTCTTGAGCGCACCGAATCACAACAAAGATTCAGAGACGTGCTGAGTTTGTCATCCAAAATGCTCCGTTTTCTAACTTTTGAAGGGCAGATCAGGAAATTCCAACGGTTCCTAAAAGTACATAAAAGCAGCTTTCCAACGATCTATAGCATAAAGCAATCAGAGTTAGGGAAAATATCGCTACGAGGGGAAATCCTGCTGTACAGCCTGATTGAAACGGAGCGCAGCGCCGCGGTGAAAGCGGATAACGGAACAGGGAAGCTAATAAGCATAAAAAGCCAGCAAGAAATTATGGAAATGCCTCAAAGAAAATCAACACGATCTGTTAGGTGTCACAGAAGGCTTATATCTGAAGACAGTGACCATGAAGGACAGATCTCCAGTGAACCAGGATATGAACGTTTGTTCAGTCTTTATTTTTTATTTTTTTATTTGAACAACCCTCAACTATTTGCTAATTGTAAGATTCAGCATCACTCCAGCATTATTTATCTTTTTACAATAAATAATTGTTTTTGCTAAAACAAATGTTTTTGGTATAGCAGCACGGTGTGCCAGAGAAGCACCCCATGGCAGTGTGAGGTGTGCAGGACTCTGCCTGCAGCTGGAGAGAAACTGCTTCAAGGTCTACCACATCAAATAAAAACGTCTGAAAATTTACAAAAATAAATGGTCTTAAAAACTGCTACAAGACACCAAGGTTCAAACTTTTTTAAGAATAGATGCATTTCAGTTCAAAGTTTAAATTGTTTGCCCAGTCATTTTGAAGTTCCTGTTCAGTAATAACTGTAAAAAATTCAAATCCGTTTTTTGCTTTTTTCACTTTTAAGCTGATTTTTTAAAGGCTGTAATAGAAATACATTCTAAATAGAAGAAGAAGAAGAAGAAAATATCATTTCTATAGCGCCTGTCAAGATAAAAATCACGAGGCGCTTCACAAAAACAAAAATATAAATATAAAAAAGCATTTAGGAAATGTTTAAAAATATATTTAAAATTAGCAAAAATAGGCAATTGGGATTTAAAAGAAAAAATGTTAAGAAAGAGAGAGAGTGACTAGGAAAGAGGGAAATCAGTGAGGAAGGTGGAATAGGTGGGGAGAGCAGAATAAAGAGAGAGGTGAAGAAGGTCATACAAAAGCCAGCTTGAACAAGTGAGTCTTCAGCTGCTTTTTAAAGGAGACCACTCAGTCCTCTGATCTCAGGTTCAGGGGGAGAGAGTTCCAGAGTCTGGGGGCCACAGCAGCAGATGATCTGTCACCTTTGACCTTTAGCCTGGTGCTGCACAACCAGTAGGCTTTGATCACTGGACCTCAGGGACCTGCTGGGGGTGTAGGGACTAAGAAGATCACCAATGTAAGATGGTGCTTGTCCATGTAAGGCCCTATAGACCAGAACCAGGATTAAGAAATGAACCCTAAAGTTGACTGGCAGCCAGTGAAGCTGGAGGAGAAGTGGCTTCACGTTTCTTTTCGTGAAATGTTATAGTGGTTTGGAAATACAAACCACACACTGAAAGCTGAGGTTGTTCTGAAAAAAGGAGAAGAGTTACACACACTTTGCACTTTTTATTACAATTTTACAGCCATAAGATTAAAAAAAAAAACAGGCGGCCCTGTTATAATTATGGTCATAAGAGGGTTATTAAGACTGCGATGCACAAACAGGAAGTGATTGGTAGTCATTCCACTCCAATCCAGTTGGTGGCAGTAATGCACCAAATTGTTGTTTGCCAAGTGCCAGACCACAAATAAGAATAAGAAGAGAGGCGGGAGCATTCGTAACAAACTCAAAGCGATAGTCAAAACATTAAGCATGACATGAAGTTATCCTAGTGGCTCCAATAAGAGAAAGAAGCAGCATGCTTCATAAAAGCTTTTATCTTCACTTCTGAAAGTGACGTTGTTTTTCGATGTAAACATCAAAAGGAAGCAGAAAGGAAAGACTATGGAAAATGTTTAAAGGGAGGAAAACAGACCAAAATGGAAAATAGAAAAAAAATAACTAAGGCTAAAGCACAGGAGCGCTGACAGAAAAAGAAAGCAGAGCAAATATTGAAAGCACTCAAAGGGAGGGAAATACAGGAAAAAAAGAGGAGGACTAATAAAAAGGGAAAATAACTCATGTCAGAAGAGGGGAGAGTTTAGCAAATCCAGTTGAAGGTAAGATTGTCGAAAATTTAGTGTAAGGGGCCCCATGTCTGTGTTCGCCTTGGGCCCCCAAATTGCTACATCCGCCCCTGGTGCTGCGTTAGTTACAGCCACTGTTGCAGAATTACCGACTGACACAAAAACAACCCGAATTTTCTCTGAGCCTGACAGTAGTAGTCATGTGGACCGTTTTGTCGGCCAGGGCTTCGAGACATGTCCCGATTCGCCGCTGATTCTAACCTTACATCCCGTTCCACATTTTGTGAACTTGACAAATCTGCCCGAAGGAAGTGCAGACTGATATTAGCTAAATGGAGTGAACCACGTCTCTCAAACTTTGCATTTAGGTCTGGAATTGTCTTTAGAAGATGTTAAAACTTTTATTTAGCTTACTCACCTCAGACTGGAGCCCGCCATGGTGGGGGAGCAGAGTCGGTGGGCTGCATCTAAATCGCGGAAGAGCCACGGTGGGCACAGCCTCCCTCTTTAAACTGAGACGTGCAGAATTGCGGGTAAATTGCTGGTTGCAAACTACAGCACCAGGCGGGAGCTGAATGTTTTCCAGACACAGATTGCGCGCAACCACTGGCACCTAATTTCTAAGTCCAGCGGAAAGGAGTGCAACCCCACAGAGCCACCGCAACCACACTACACTACACTTTCTCATCATACTAACACAATATGGAGCACTAAACCCGAACTACTTTCCTAATTACACTAACAGCCAAACACTAACTAAACTACAATATCCAACAGCCAAACTAACACAAAATAAGTATGTATAACACTAGAAGCTATGCTAAAGACCAGGATATGCTAATGCTATATGCTAATGCTGAACTACCGCTAACCGTCCGACACTCGCTTGCAAATCCAACTCCCAACTCGCCACAAGGCGTGGCCGAGACGCTCGTTGCTTTTATAACTTTGACACAGAGCTGCTACGTAGTACTCTACTGGTTTACGTAGTAACTTACTCTTTAGCCATTGGCTAAAATTTATTCAAAATGACTCAAATTCTATGTTTTAAGCTGAAGGTGGCGCTATACTGTGGTATTTAGGCAGAATTTTTAATTTTTAAAGAAAATGCACCAAAATGTTAAAATAATGAATACACACATTTAAAACACTATTAGACACTCACTTATACAGTTCATCAGCAAAAAAAAAAGTTAATTTAGACGTTACTTGCTCTTTAATGATTCGTCTCTAGGTTTTTGCTCCACCCAGTGGGTTTGTGACATCACAAACCTGGTCAGTTTTAAGCAGTATTTATTTATTTTTTACTGCTACTGATTCACAGTGGTTTGAGTTCAGAAATACAAAAATAAATGTTTGCGCATATTGGTGTGCAGCTTTTCATTCTACTACACACAACAGATCTACACGTTTATGCATTCTGAAACATATTGGATTTCATACGAGGCAGCATGACGCTTATGTGTGCGTGCCTGTCCAAAAGTGACTGATTAATTTGTGCTTTTCTTAATTTGATATTTTTGTGTTCAATAAGGGTGGTAAGATTCCAATCCGATGGACAGCTCCTGAAGCCATCGCATACAGGAAATTCTCCTCAGCCAGTGACGCTTGGAGTTATGGCATTGTCATGTGGGAGGTCATGTCTTATGGAGAACGACCTTACTGGGAGATGTCCAATCAGGATGTGAGTATTATGCAGAATTTTTCTTGGATGACAAAGAACATGTACATTTACCTATTTCTGTTAAAGAGGTTTTAACTCATTCACTGCCAATGACTAAAGTCGTCATTTGCATTTTTTAACTGTGTGGGTGTCGGAACGAGCCCCCGCACCGTGAGAACAAACTTCTCAGCTCTGTAGTGATGAATTTAGATTTATATCTGTATTTATCCAATGTGTTGTAGACTTAGTTTGTTTTCGTCGTTTATAATTTTATATAAATTAATCGGGGCACCACCCAGTCTTTGTTAGTGTGAACTCTGGGCTGCATGGTGGCGCAGTGGTTAGCACTGTTGCCTCACAGCAAGAAGGTTGCAGGTTCGAAACTCGGTTGTGGCCTTTCTGCGTGGAGTTGCGTGTTCTCCCCATGCATGCGTGGGTTTCCTCCGGGTACTCCGGTTTCCCCCACAGATCACAACATGCCCTACAAGTTAAAAATTGTACGTCGCTTTGGATAAAAGCGTCTGCCAAATAAATAAACAGAATAAACAGAAACTGGGACACTCGAATGGATATTCAGATTTGTTCGATGTAATCAGTCTAAAATTTAACACCACAAATTAGTCTGAAAGCTGAATTCTTGCCAGAATGCGCCGACTATTCTCGAGAATTGCTAGAAATGACCAGGCGCTATTTACATTTTTGTGAGTTTATTACAAGCGTCAGTTAACACATTGACAAAAGGACCACAACACAGCTTGTCTTTTCATGCATGGAATTAAGAAAATTGTTAACCCAAAGCTTTATGGCAGTGATATGAAATAACTGATCTGTAATAAAGGTGGAAACTTGGTGAAAAACAAGATTATAGTAAAATGTGGAGTAATTTCTAAAATGGGTACAGAGTGAGTATATTTTTGTGTTCATATGGGTAGAGGAATGCAGGAGTAGGTGTGTGTGTGTGTGTGTGTGTGTGTGTGTGTGTGCATGCGTGCGTGGACGCAGAGGACTTGTTACGGCAGTAAAAGAGGGGTGAATCTTGGGAGCTAAACGTGAATCTGGGTCGAAATAAAATGCGCCATAAAAGAAATGGGATAATCTGAATTCACGAATCGTGGTTTAGCAGAAAAATCAGCTAGATGGAAATGATTCACAGACCTGTTTTCCGTTGCCAAGAGTCGCCAGCGGCCGGTAGCCTTTCATCCTGGCTCAGCCACGGCTTCGAGGACTGAATTATTTTGGCTCCCGGGTCGGTCAGCGTCGGTCATGGGAGAGAGGATGTGGTATTCCTCTATCGTGGCTTGACTTTCGGTTCCTCCAGCTGCACCAAACGTGGAATTCAGATCGCGGGACCAATTTATCCAAACGAAGTCGAATCAGAAAAACTGTTCCAAATTGGTTTTAACTCTTAATGTGAGAACTCGACTGGACCACGCAGACTTCCAGTTTCACCTAGAAAGTCAAAACAAAACAAACGGAGTTGCCTCTGAGTTTCACCGAATCTTTTGAGAGCTAATGACTTGACAACTTTAGAGCGCCGGTTTTTGCTAGGCTAGACAGAAAAGCCAAAACAGAGGTTCGCTTAAGGCGTCTTTTGTTCTTTCTTCTACCACCACGAGGTCTGAACTCTGGTTTTATGAACTGTCTTGGTCACGCCCAAATGTATTTCACTCATTAACCACTGGATGTCACTGTGGCTCTTTCAAATAAACTACCTTTCAAGAATGAAAAGTTCATGTCACAATTTACCAAACTTATTCCAGCTGAGTAGAGCCCTGCATGGGCCTAAAATCTGAGCCCGTGTCCGGCCCGGCCCGAGGGGGTGGAGCCCCAGCCCGATCCGGCCCGAAAAGGTTTTCAGGATTCTCTGGCCCAGCCCGAGCCTGAGCCCGACTTTTTTTTAACCAACTAAATGAAAACAAAGTGCGTCAATCCTGACCAATGTGTTAAAAGACGTGCAGGATCCAATCAATTTGTTTTTCCCTCGTTTACTGTCACGGAGATAACGGCGCACTGGCTCTGGTGTTAATCAAGTTAAATTTTACCTCTTTCCAACAATTTTCACAAGAAAACAAAACAGTCAAAAGCAGGGCTTGTAGTGACCGGATAGTTCCCGTATTTGACGTTTTATTTTGACGGAGAAAGAATAGAAAGAATTACCCCGACGCATGCAGACGAACTGACACTTTATTCTACGCACATCGCAGATGTAGCTAAATCACCCAAGAAAAGATTCCCATCTGAACATCTGCTCAGCGCAGCTCGCTGTCAGCGCATATGTGCACAGTGTAATGATCTGTAGTTGTATATTTATACACTGTAATTAGATCTAAATATTATAATCAGAAGTGGTTGTTTTTATTATCAGGGAGTTTACTTAAACACTCTGTATTGACTGAGAGACAAGAAAAGAGAGAGTTGGGATCGTTTAAGAATCTTTAATTTCTATAATTATAAATTCTTACAATCTACCAGGACTGTCTCAATGATGAATGCATATGGATTTGGATGTTTCGTGTTGGTGTGTGTGTGTGTTGTTCAGAATCTCTAGGCTGACGTAGCAAATCTGGTTGTTATGACTAGCTACCACGAGGCTTCAGAAGCTGATGACATGAGCCACCATTTTGTGCCGTGACCACGTACCCTGTGGAGCCTCCCGTGTAGATCAGGAAATGCCAGGTCCTCGGACCTCGGATGTACCGGAGCTGGTGAAACAGCGGTCGCAGCACTACAAAGCCTGTCTGTGGGTCGACTCCGGTAGCAGTCGGCAGGCGTCAGCAAGTTCACTCTTATTTTGAAGGAACGTCGTCTTGTTGGTTCAAACGACGGAAATCTCCAGCTTGACAGTTCTCAGCTTAAAATAGGAAAGTACAGCTGGCCAGTCTGTACTTCTCTTTTGGCGGTGATGGATTGAGAGCTGGTTGAAAACAATGTTGAGAGTATGATGTAACTCCTTTGGAGCTCGGATCGAACAGAGCTGAGGTTAAAATGGAACTGAGTTTAAAATGGCGTTGCCTTGTTTAATATCCCCTTATTGTTTACAAATCTTAGTAAACCGGATTGGTCAACTTAAGTAAACAACCCAGATTCTCTCTACGACAGACGAACGTTCTGATTGGTTGAAAACAATGTGTCATGCGTTTCCATGGTAATGTAGATCAGTCTGTCTGGTGCAGTCCTGTTTATTCATTAAACACATAACTCATGACATCTTTATTTCACAGATCATTCACCTGATTATTAATGATCAACATATGCTTTGATTAGCTTATCACAAATAAAGTACTGTGATTAATTAATGGAAAGCGTTCTTCTTCTCTTCTTCTGTCTCTTCTCCTGGAATGTAAACATACTGAAACAAGCGTTCGACCTTGGCGATGTTACTGTGTGAAGTGGCAGCTGTTAAGGGCAGACAATTATAATATTCATAACACTACACTCACCCCCTTTTCAAGGTCAATGTGGTCCTGCAAGAGACCACTTGGTCGTTGAACAAACCCAAGTTATGAAGAATCTTGACAACCGAACAGGATGCGATCCCACCGGAACAGCCAACTGTGGTTCCGGTACGAACCCCACGCTGAAGAACAGTCTCGCACACTCCTCAGGAAGAACACAAGTCAGCAGGTTATAAAGTATTCCCCATGGAAGCCATAATTGAAGCAACAGCAGCTTTATATCCGCACGGGCAAAAATGCAAAGCAGGAGCAAATCTTGTGTATATCCACGAGCAGGTAATTATTCCACATAGAAGATTGATCTTTGTATCCACTGGCAGGGTAATATTCCAAATATAAAATGACTTGGCAACAGTACTTATCGTAATCCACAAAAAGGGAAGAGTAGTAGACAGTAATCCCAACGAATGAGGTGTCCCAGCAGCTATGCCGGAACCACTGTCGTCCAAGGCCAACGAGCCGGAGCACCACCCAGGAGTAGTCGATGCAGATGACGAGTCACGGATCCACCCCCAGGAAGCAGGATCCTCACGAGCTCAGCAGAGTAGAGAGAGCACAGTGCAGGCACTTCAATGTAGACACGACAAAATTGCATTTCATGTCATCAAAGAAATAAAAACCTAACTCTATGAGTACCTGTTGTACTATGTGTAAGTTTTATGTGAATTACCCATTAAGTGAAGAAATGGATGCAACCTTCTCTGTGTGAGATGCAAAAAGGATGATGCGAAAAGCAGAAAATGAAAGAACCCTATCTGGTATCAGTGAATCCTCACTGGAAATATACGCTGTCAGTATAGGGGCAAAATTGGTTATAGCCCTGTAAGGTAAATCAACACTGACAATCGTAACAATCACTTTTAAATCAACTTCAAAGATACTATAAAAAAACAGAAATGTAAATCAGTACTAAAATGTAAATCAGTAGTTAGTAATCACTTTCATGTAAATGTACCCATAAGGAATTGTGATTAGTAAAGATAAAAAAAAACTAAATTTTGGACAACAGTACTATGTGGCCTAACCCACTTACTGTTACCTGGCCTTTTACCTGACCCCAGGAGCCCACAGCACGTCCGTCTCAACACACCCTAAGTCTGCACGTGACGTATAACATGAAAGACAACCATGCACACTCACAAACAAACAAATTTGTGTAACCTGAGATAGAAGTCTGTGGAACCAACGGGACGTATTTTTCACCCCCCTTTTGAAGTCGGTAGATTGTTGTTGTCATCGGCCAAATCTGCGGAACCCTTGTGCAGTTTGATATGGTCCCTGTGTACCCATTTGTAGACGGGGGCCGTGTTTTCGCCTGCGATCTTGATCTGGTACGCGACCGGAGAGATCTTGTTATCAGGTATGGACCCGACCATTTGGGCAAAAGTTTCTTATGGGCCATTCCCATCTGTACCGGGTCGGCCCGGGCCGGGTAGCGTAGGTTGTTTACATATCTGGGTGGCCTGGTATTTTTCCGGGCCAACCAAGGCTCATTCTCAGCCCTCTTCTCGAGCGGGTCTGCTTCAGGCCGACCAGGGCCAACACACCCACTGCTGACAGCAAATT